GAGCCCCATGGATCCTATTGAAGAACTCCTTTTGGCCTTAAAGGAATGCGTGCTTAGGCTTGAAAAACACTTCCCTTGATAAGTAAAACAATTAGCTAGAATGTGCAAGGATGTGGAATTAGCAGTTAACCTATGTATAGAAACGTAAAAAGGGCTCAACAGCAAAAATTTCCCCCATGAAGAGACAAGGGAATGTTTTTACTACCCTCTTTCCCATGAAATTTTGCAACTTTTAGCTAAAAAAGGAAAAACAAGTACTTCCTCATACCCTTTATAAGTAACAACATTGGCAGTTGTGATTGATGAGGAAGTGAGAAACTGAGACAGAGTATCTCCAAAAACAGGTGTTTTCAGGAAAAACAAGTCACAGACATGCCTTTTGATTTAAGAAATATTATAGTTTAATTAGAAAGAGGGTTAAAATTAAAGTAAGGATTAGAATTAAATAAATAACAGTTATAATTAAAAGATAAATGTTTATTATAGATGTAGGTATTAGTTAAATATAAGTAATAGAAGGAATAGGAAATAATTAAGTTTTAAGGTAAACTTAAAATTATGCACACTTAATGTAGGTTTAAAATTAAATGCATTTAGGATTAGAAGTAAGATTAATTTCATATATAAGTGTAGATTTAGATGTAAGTTTTGTTTAGAAATATAAAATGTAAAATAGGGGATAAGAAAATAGCAAGTAATATAGATAAGGCAATTAGAATTAAGAAAGTTAAATTTTTTAAAAAATAGAGTATTAAGAATTCATAGTGTGTAAGATAAGGGTGGTTATATAAAAGAAAAGCAAGTCAATATATTGCTGCTAAAAGTATATATAAGGGTAGAATTAAGAAAATAGATTAGGAAAGGAAAAGAAATAGAATAGTGAAGGGAAGAGACTCAGTTGGCCTAGAGGTCACAGGATGTGGCTGATAAATTCTTGGCAGCTGGTATTTTGTTACACCACCGGAAGCAGGAAGGAACAAAATGAAACTTGTAAAGGTCAACTTCCCCATAAACAAAAGAAAAAACATGATGTAAACATTTAATGTATAACATGGGATACATTTTGTGGGTAGAGGGGTCAGTAAAAAAACTATATAAGCTTGTAAGAATTGAATAAAAATTGGCAGAGTCTTGAGCTCTCCCCAGGAAGAGGATTCCTGTCGTTTTCGTCTTTTCTTTTTCACCGCTTCCCGATTCCCCCATCTCAAGCCCTGACTCTCTCCTGGAGCTGGACTCCAGCAGTCCTCCAAATAACTTTCCTAACCATTAAAACTATTTTCTATTTTTTCTGTTTCTCTCTCTTTCATGTACATATTGTGCTTAAAAATCGACCTGTTCTCCTGACAACAAAAACCCACACAAACAACTCACTTGTATGTGTAAACACACACATCATATGTACACTAATAATTAAAAAGCTATCAAATAAGTAGATATTGATTATTATAAGAATCATAGGAACCCATATAGTATTGGTTCCAGGCTTAAAAAGAAAAATGCTTACTACTCATTTTTATAGCTCTTCAAAAGGACCCTAAAACATTTAGTTTTGAAAGTCCATGTGCCAGGCTGTAAAATCCTAGATTCAATTATTGTTATTATTTTTTTAGCTCAGATTGGACATTGAGGTAGATATGATGCCAGCCATAAACAAATATTGCATTCATTTCCTTCTTGAGGAAGAATCAACATTAGTGTCAGATACAGCTGGGGTGAAATCTGATTACTAGAACTTAATAAGAAGATGCCATTTCTCAATTTATTCATTTATTAAATGAGAATAACAATACCTCATAGGGATATTGTAGAAATTATGTGACATAAAATAGATTATATACAGTAACTAGAGAAAGAAATAAATGCATGTCTATTCCTATTTTGCTTGCTGTTATTCCATCCTTAGTGCTTTTATAGAAACTTTCAAAATTGCTGGATTCAGGATATTTTAATGATCTTCCATGACAGAGAGCAAACAGGGAAACAACATTCATTATAGTAACAATATCTCTATGCATAGTTTTATCTGATTAGCCCAGATTTTCAGGAAAACTGAATTTTTCACTAGCTTTGTGAACTTTGAAAATCACTGAACCTCTATAGGCCTATTTTATCCTCTGTAAAATATAATGAATAATTTTTACCTTGTATCTGTGTTTCATTATTATAAATATTGCATGTAAAATGCTTATAATTACAGTTTATTAATATTAGTTATTAAAATAATAGCCCCTCCCATATACAAATATATTTTATGAAAAAGAAAGTACTTTTACTCTTTCTTCCTACACATCTATTGTTTGAAGGTACAGTGAAATGTATGTGAGTAATATTCCCAATTTGAAAGACAGTAATAAGAAGTAGATTTATGTTACATTTATCTCAGTTGGACACTTTGATAGGAGTTAAAACTCTTTTAGTAGTTGTTTTTTACACCAAAACTAATAATATTTTATGTCTTAGGGTTAACAAATATTCCTTCACTAAGGAAGAGAAAGCAGCTGAACCAATAAGAAATACAATCCCACAGGAAATTGTAGCCTTAGGAACAAATAAGCTGTTCTGATGTAACAGTTTAATGACACATCCAGAGGGCAGTGTCTCCCCACATCTGTTGATAGAAGGGCGAGGAAAGAGGGCATGAAGGAAAGACATACCCTGAGAAAATGGAGCCCTGGTCACATTCTTAACCTCTGATATGTGTTGTGCTGTTTTCAATAATTTTCGATCACCAATTTAGCTCTGAGATTTCCACATTCTAACAAACAGTTGAAGTGGGTAGAGAGTAATGGTTATGCGCCAGGGTTAAAGGAACCCACTGACAAAGAATCTGCCATTGACTAATAACCATCACTGGCCATCATTGGCTAAGGGTGATCATTGACCATTTCTGCCCTAGGAGAAGACTCCTAAACGCAAACAATCAGAACCTAGGGTGAGAGATTTGTAACAATCCAATACTTGGAATGACACTTTATTCTTTGTCAAGTTACCAGAATGCATGTTTCCTTTCCTAAGAGCCTGGTATAATGATCAGTCCTTACAATTTGTCTAGGTAGGACTTTAATAAATTATTTCCCTCTGTTTTTATTCCTTAACTCATTTCAGTAGCTACATGATACACAATTATTACTTTATTTATAAAACTTGATTTTTTCCCAATTTTGATACAGTGATAAGTTTTTAACCTTCCAGTCATAAATATACGACCATAAATCTCACCTGTGCATTTGCTATTGGCACTTTATACCTGCCTATCATTCTTTTATGATTTTCTATTTTACATTACTAGTTATAAAAATTTATTAAACTTTTGATGGTGACTTGACACCAATGCCATTGATGAATGATATAGGCTTCCCGTCTTCCCCACACTATATATGTACAATTTTATCTATTAATTCAGAGGTCAAATACACTTTCAAGATTACTTTTGGATAGACTGAAGAGCCAGAGATCCTGGATTAACAATGCTGTGCATAGGTAATTTCGCAACATACAAGTTATTTTAAAGATACAAGACTTAGAATCAGGGAGAGCTAGCTACTCTTCCTTCAATATAATGAATAAATTTAACATTCTTATCAATTTTTCTGCGCCTTACTTAACCCATCAATAAAATGGAATGGTTGGTTCATTTGGTTTCAGAGTCTTCTTGTCTCTAATTACCAAAAATTTCATCATTCCAGCTAAGTATTGTTACCTCATAACTCTCTACCATTCAGATATATGGTTATTTTCTGTAAAAGTGGAAATAGCATTTATTGAGCCTTTAAAAAGACCAAAGAATATGTATTTGCATCTCAGTTAAAATTTTGATGAATGAATGAATGACAGATAGATTGATAGACACTGTATTATGATTAGGTATTTTATATATATTGTCTACTTGATTCTCACAAAACTTTTTTGTGGCAATATAATTATATATATATATATATTTTTTTTTTTGAGTTGGAGTCTCACTCTGTCGCCCATACTGGAGTGCAGTGGCCGCTCCCAGCCACCGCAGCCTCGACCTGCTGGGCTCCGGCGATCCTTCCGTCTCAGCCTTCCGAGTAGCCGAAATTACAGGCATGCGCTACCACGCCCGGCTGATTTTTTGATTTATTGTAGAGATGAGGTCTCGCTGCCCAGGTGGGTCTTGAACCCGCGGGCTCAGGCAATCCACTCACCTCAGCCTCCCAAAGGCACGGGATTACAGGCTGAGCCACCAACCCCTTCTTAATATGATTACATTTTATATTTTATGTAGAAGCAAGGGCAACCCACTCGGGTCCCCTCCCACTGTGGGAGTTTTTCTGTCCTCTTAATAAATTTTGCTTTCTAAAAAAAAAAAAAAAAGAAAGAAAGAAACTATATTAGATAAATTAAGTGATATTATTATACTCATACAAGTGACCAAGAGGCAATAAGTGGCAGATATAAAATTCAGACTCATGTTAAATTAAGTTTAGCCTAAAGCTGCCTCCTTACATATTTTAAGTTTAATCTAAAGGTTTCTTTGTACACAGTGAACTGTAACTTAACTGAATATGTAGACAGACTGTAGCCTACTCTTTTGCCAATCAATGTGTCACAGCGAAACAAAACCAGCCAACTATTCAAGCTGTGTTCAGATAAGGCAAAAATTCATGTGGCCATTTCTGTACCTGACTTCAGTTTTCTGTGTGTCACTTTCCTTTTTCTGTTCAGAGATCTTTGATCACACAACAGTACCAGAGTCATTCTGCCCCTATTCTGGTTTGGGGGCTGCCCAATTCGCAAATAATTCTTTGCTTAATAAAACTCTGGTAAATTTAATTTGCTTAACATTTTACTTTCAACATCCTTGATTTATCACCTATCTATCATTCTCCACTATCAAATTTATCTTAGAAAAAGAACTTGATTTAAACTTTTAAATATGTGAATAAGTTATTAAAAATGTGTTTTGATGTTAATTTTAAATCTAGGACTTTCCAGTAGGTTGTTTCTCTCAAAATAGCATCATATATAATTACCTGTGGAGGAAGCAGTGGCAATCTTATGAAGGCAAGAAGCATACTCAGGTCATTGCATCGCCTTTGCATGTCGTACTTGACCCACATCATTAATGCATGGAAGATGGTTTCTTCATCAGGAACATTTACATCATCACTGGCCAGTAGCTTATGGAGCTCCTCAGCTGGAAGGAGTAAAAACTCTTGATTTCTGATAACTTCCATGATGTTTTCCTGCAGGGAGAAAACGTCTTGGCATAAGTTGTGCTTCACTTTTATTTAGCTAGTAAAGCTTCTTAGAAAGAAATGAGAAAAGTAGTCAATAACCTTTGTTCTCATTATAACATAATCCTTGAGACTCAATCCTTCAGAAACTAGAAGCTGTTAAGATGAAAGCATTGTAATTGTAATTGAAGTGTAAATGTATCCCAGACAGCAAAGATCTTGTAATAACTGGAGGATTATAATGTTGAGCTTTGTTATGCAGGCAGAATTTGCCAAGTGATTAAATGTTCAAGTTTCAAGTGTACTGCTCGATAAGATCTGGTGAATATAAAAAGAATAGCATATCATATTTCTAAAAGCTTGACTATAGATATATATGTGTGTGTATGAATCAGAAAATGGCAATAGAATTACATAGAGAAGAGTAACTTTGTACAATGCATCATTGTTTATTCAAAGGAAAACAACAGGCCAGATAGGCCACAGATGTCACAAAATCCCACAAGTTCCACCCTCTTATTATCTTCCATATCTCCCGCCTCCTGTGACAGTTTCATTTGGCTTAATTCAGATTTTCATTTATTTTATTTCATATTGTTACCATAACCTCTTAATTACTCTGCCTGAGTCTATTTCCAGCTTCTCATTTGCATCCTTTATAATGATACCAGAATGATAGTTATAAAATATAAATGGGCTCATGGTATTATTCTAAAGTTTTTGTTTTATTTTGCTTTATGGTCTTCTCTTGTCTTTGGTTCACATTTTTTGTTTAAGCATGTTGGCATTCATAATCTACCTCTTCTGATCATACTTTATCTTCCCTTGTTTGTATTTCAGTCACAAAAATGACTTACTCTTCTTTCAATTAGCCACATTGTTTTGACATGTGCTCCCTTACTTGCTCCATTGCTTAAAATGGCTTTTAAACTTTTCCAAATTTCTGTCATATATCAAGATTCAGTTTAAGAGCTACCTATTATATATGGGTTCCTGAAGCCCTTCATTCAGTCTTATTTGAGTTGGCTACCTCTCCACTACACCCTCACAGAGTGTTATGTATATCTCTAACACAACAGCTGCCACACTGTAGTCTGATCTCTGTTGCACTTGGGGTCTTATCAAAAGTTGTTAACTGGAGGATCCTGATTTATGAAGCCTTTAAATCTAGATCCTGGCATAGAGCCTGGAACATAGCAGGTGAACGGTGCATATTTATTGAATGCATGAATTGATGATCTTTATAGAGAAAAACAAAATTGTAGATACAGTACTAAGTAATAAAATGTTTTTCAAAATCATTTTAAAAACTACTTGTCAAAAACATTCTTACATTTTAAGCAGAAAGGTTTCTGTGGATGATGCATGATTAGAAAAGACAAGATCTCACAGGCCTTGGTTTTTTTTACTCTGCCTCCCCTCATGTCTCCTCAGATAACTCAAGGGAAGATACAACACAGGCTTCTCAGATCATAGTTTTAAGGTCACAGCTATGGTACAAATATCAACAGGACACATATTTTAAGGATAAAACCTGAAGTAGAGTGAGACTGGAATTCTTCCAAAGAAGGTATTGTGACTATGCCAAATAGGGTAGAGCATGAGGCAAGTGACCATTAATCTGTATGCTAAAGAAGACACAAACATATTTTCTAAGGAGAAACCTGGCCCATGTTATTAGTATTTCCTTGGAGCTGAAATGACTTCAGCCTTTGCAAGAGGATGCTAACTTTTGCATTCTTTCTGGGTATCTGTCATATATTCCCATTAAAAGTATAATAACACAATTTGTAAGTAATTGTAATTTATTTATATTAATTGGCATCACAGAATAGCTGAAAGTTATTGTTATTGGAAATTGTTTTGTTCCCTGTGTTTCCTCTGAGCTTAATACAGTACTGTGTAAATCATAGATGTCCAGTAAAATTTACTAATTTAATAAATTAAGTGTTCTGAGATTTAGTGTCACCAAATGTCTCTAAAGAGCTATTGCAAGATGAAGATGTTCTTTAGAAATCTTTGAGAGGATTTTGTCCATTTTTCCAGTTACTCAAAAATCTATGCTTCTATTAAACTACACACAGACTTGTAAAGCTAAGTCATCAGTATATAGTGAGTGATATCATAAAAAAAGCTCTGTGAAACTTTTAGTGTGTCTGTCATAAAGATATTGTTCAAGGCATATTTCATTTTATTTTATAGTGTCCTCTTTATTATGACCCTTGGGAAAAATTTCTTTCAGGTTTTAGTAGCAGAAATAATTGCACTTCTCCTGAGTAAATTGGTTTGCTTTTATCATGGATGTTGTAAATTATAAAATTGATCAGATTTCTCTTTTTATTTGGCCTCTAGAAAACTTAGAGTCAAATTGCAATCTATCTTGTAGGAAGGCTATAGATTTTTATAGTTTGATATCTTTTTCAGGTAGCTCTGATAATAGTTCCATTTAGTATTACTACAGCAACTTTTTTATTTCTTTTATTCCTACATCTAATTTAGAGGATATTCTGTTAATATTGTACCTTTTTAAGTTATACTAAATCTTTTGAGATCCAGCTATGTTGTCATAAAAACTGCTATAAATAAACTGGACAATAGAATCTGGTATCAGATATCACTAGAGCAGTCACACTTGCTCATGTCTTCAGTATTTATTTTTTTCTTTACATACACTGGAGTTCTGAAGTATTCTTTGCTGGTTTTTTTCCCTTCCATTAGTCTTCCTTTTAATGATACTCTGCCTATTGTACCTACAATCTAGCTTCTGACAATTTATTGTTTTAGTTTTATTATGTCTTATTGATAAAAAGAAAAAGAAATGTCAGTTCACATTAATTATTATTTTCTGTGAAGAGCACATAATAAGATATACCTAAACTCTTTGGGTTGTTTACCTATGGTACAATCTTTCTTTAAGTTTATTCATTAAGTTATTCATTCATTCATTGAGCATGAATTTATTGAGCATCTGATGCATGGGACTGATAAATGTTGTGTGGGAGAAAAAATGAATTTCAATTAAAAAAGCTTTGCTATACCTGAGACATGTATAGAATGGAATACCTAGAAAATGATAGTAGTCAATTTTATAGACTCTTGTTTTTCAAATGGAACTATAATATTAGGAATGAGTTTAAATAAGAAAATAGAAAGTGTAGCCGGGCTCAGTGGCTCAGCCTGTAATCCCGTGCCTTTGAGAGGCTGAGCCCGTGGGTTCGAGACCCGCTTGGACAGCGAGAACTCATCTCTACAATAAATCAAAAAATCAGCCGGGCGTGGTAGCGCATGCCTGTAATTCCGGCTACTCGGAAGGCTGAGGCGGAAGGATAGCAGGAGCCCAGCAGGTCGAGGCTGCGGTGGCCGGGAGCGGCCACTGCTCTCCAATCTGGGCGACAGAGTGAGACTCCAACTCAAAAAAAAAGAAAATAGAAAGTGGATAGAAATGGTATTCTGGTCAGGAGAATCCATATAAACAAAGACATAATAGCAGGTAATATAGTATACGATGCCATAGTTGATGTGACAACTTGATTGACAATGAACACAAAAAATTGTGGGAAAAGAACATTGAAAATATAGTTTAGTGAGATGATAGAATGCATTTAACCTAAAACTTTGATAGTTTTATTATCTTATACTCTTTTAAATATATTTGTTGCCGTTTAAACATACACATCTGCACATCTGCATGTGGGTTCAAAATACTTATGATAAAGAAAGATTTTGGCACCAAATGTAATTTACAGTTACATAAGACACAATCATTACAGAAATTAAAATAAACTGCCATTTACTCTTGTTACTTCGTGATATTTTTAAATAACTGTTTAGCTGAAAAAAGTACTGTTATTTTATTATGAATAGACAGAAGGTTTTGTATCAGTTTTTTACTCAATTATTTCCTGTATTTAATATAAAAATATTAATTTGCACTGGCAATTAATTAAATTAATAACTTCCCATATTTTATTATTGATGATATTTGTAGGTAGCAATCCTTTTGAAATATTATTAGAAATATCACTTGACTTCATGGTACATAAAGTTAGCTAAAATATTGATGGTAACATGTCTAAAAGAATATAAGTAAACCTCTTCAATTATCATCATTGTTATTGATTTAACTTAAAATATGAGTATTAAATTGTAACATATTTTATTATTGTTCAAATAGCTAACATAAATTATAATTTTGTTTAATTAATTGTTACTATGATACCAACACATAATATACTAAATGATTAACTGAAGAATATCTCTCTCCTATGAAAGTCTACTGAGACCTATATCTCATTACACTTAAAAAGTTATTGGTTATAAAGATAAGTTCTTCAGAGGCTTATATTGCCAAATAACCAAACGACAACAACAACAACAGCAAAAACTAAGAGAAAGCCTGAAATGATGATCTACTTTGGTTGAAACATATTAGGTAAGTATGGGAAATGTAAACTTTGGGTCTAATTTTTTGGGCCTAAAATTTTAAACTTGTAGTTTAAGCACCTTTTGCAAGTGAAGTTTTGAGAGTTTCATGGTATATTTGTGGTTCTACTATTTTTAGGAGCAAGATTGAAAAATCCATCTCTTGACTTCTGAGAAAATGTATTTTATTTGATATTATGTACCGATTGAGAAGTTTTCATCTTCTGCTACCTTGGACCTAAAGGTATGGTGTGGGCCACCATGGCTGTCTCTTCAGAGGACATAAATGGTAAACTTTGGTCACACCTTTGGTGTTTTCTTCAAAAACATACTTTTTAATTCTTTGCAACAGGGCCAGGATGATAATTTTCTAAATGTTTAAGTTTTGCTTCACTTTTGATTATAAATTTTATCTTTATTTCTCTTTTCTTGCATTTGACTATAAGCAATCAAGAGAAGCCATGTTGCTTCTTCAACACTTTGCTTTAAGATTAATTCTGCTAAATATCCTGTTTGAACACTCACTTGTTGCTTTTTTCACAAAATAGTAGAATGCAAATGCAGTTCAGATGAGTTCTTTACCACTT